TGATGATTACTTCAAATAGAACTAACTGGCATATCTGGGAATGTTTTTGTAAAATGCCACAAGTTATTGGATAAAAATAAGATATATGTTATGTTAACTACAGCTTTTTGGGTTTTTTTCCCCAAAGATTATTTACTTGAAAGTGCTTCATAGGGAGAGAGTTCAGTCTTCCATCTGCTAGTTGACTACCCAAATGGCTACAAGGGCCAGACCAGAGTCGTCCAGAAGCCAGAAGCTGCTTCTGTTTCTCCCTCATGTATGGTTGCAGGGGCCGAGGACTTGGGGCATCCTGTGCTCCTTTCCCAGGCTCATTAGCAGGGAGCTGGATCAGAAGTTAAGCAGCCAAGTTTGAGCCAGTGACCTTATGGGATACCGGGACCACAGGCACAGCCCCCTTTATTTTATGTTTTGAAACCACTTGCATCCTCTGGCTCACTCTCCAGATGCTTATGAGAAATGAGGTTAAGCCATTAGCTCAGGTCTTCCCTCACCCAACCACTGGAACCCAGCTACTTGTTAACTGCTTTGTCCCACAGTGTGTTTTGTGGATGAATGCAGACACACTTGTGTGGAATGTGAGCATGTTGAGTGGCAGCTCAGCTGCTAGGCTGAAACCTCCCATCTTTATATGGTAACTTGTAGCTATTGTGGGGCAGTGGCTTAAGTCACTGCTTGTGATACCTACATTCTGTATCAGCGCTGGTATAAGTTAATTTTCAGTCACCTCAGTGTAATGCTACCATGAATTTATACTATATTGAGCTAAGGACTCAGTTAATTTTTAGATAAACCAAGCTTAGCCAGTGCCCTGTCTAAAACAGTGCTTTTTCTTAAAGAGTTTATTTGAAAGGCAGAGTTTAGAAGAGTTCTTCATCCACTGCTGCACTCCCTAGATGGTTGGGACGGCCAGGGCTGAACCTGTCCAAATCACTGAGAATTAGCAGAGCTCTGTATCCATTGTGGAACAACCAGGACTTAGCAATGCCAGTATAGAATCTGATGCTATTTTTGAGGCTTAAATATGTGATTTTGAGTTGGCCAGAAAAGTCCAAAGGCAGTTAAGATGCTGATTACTTTATCCACAGCATTTGGTCTACTTCTATAAAGAGGTCTCAGTTTTTGGTATAGGGGCTATGAAACTTGAGTGCTACTTCCTAATTTTCTAATTGTGGTTACCGCTGCTGTCAAACTATAGCGAGATCTGGATGAAACTGTAGGCTCCAGCTTAGCCCTCAACATCAAAGGCTTTTGTGAAGTAAATCAGTCAAACAAAGGAAGACCTTTCATCTTCTGTGAAAAACAGGATTTCAGTCAAGTGTAGAGGTTCACCTCTCTGCCTTTTTTTAATTGGGAAGTCAGATTTACACAGAGAAGAGGAGACAGAAATCTTCACCCACTGGTTTCATTTGTATTCTGTTCTCATAGCCTTTGTTCCTTTGACAGTGTTTTCCATTTACGTCATAATTATCTCCATCCAGGCATACACCATCACTTCGGGAATTTTTTTTTTTGTAAGATTTATTTTTATTTAAAAGACAGATGAGATTTATGGACAGAAGAGACGGACCTTCCATCCTCGCCTGGTTTACTCCCCAAGTAGCTGCAGTGGCCGGAGCTGAGCCAATCTGAAGCTGCTTCCAGGTTTCCACGAGGGTGCAGAGTCCCAAAGTTGTAGGCCATCCTCTACTTCTCTCCCAGGCCATAAGTAGGGAGCTAGATGGGAATTGAAGGAGCTGGGACATGAACTGGCATTCATATTGAATCCTGACACTTGCAAAATGAGGATTTAGCCACAGACCTATCATGCCGGGCCAAAACCATCGCTCTGTAAACTCAACTTGCAAGTGAGCAGACGTTACTTGTGTGTAGAGGGTGGCAAGGGGAACCTCGGGCTCATCAACTGTATTGTTCACAAAGGTGAACTAAACCATAACCTGGAAATTCAGAGTATTCCAGCATGTGGAGAAACGACAGTTTTGGTTCACAGGAAGAGGCACTATTTCACAAGTGTTTCTCAATAACACCATAGTGAAGTGATATAGGTTACTAAAATCACAGGTTCAGTTATTTCATGATTAATTTATCTGTCTTGAGAGAAAGAAATCTGACATCTGCTGAATCAATCTCAGGATGGCCACATAGATCCAGGGATCAACCAGGCTCAAACCATATGGGATGCCACCATTACAAGCAGTGACTTTACCCCCTATACCACAATGTTACCCTTTGATTAAATTTTTTTAAATAAGACTATTGGGGCCTGGTGTAGTAGCCTAGTGGCTAAAGTCCTTGCCTTGCATGCACCAGGACCCCATTTGGTGCCAGTTCTAACCCTGGTGGTCCTGCTTCCCATCTAGCTTCCTGCTTGTAGCTTGGGAAAGCAGTTGAGGGCAGCCTAAAGCCTTAGGACTGCATCCGTGTGGGAGACCTGAAAGAGCTCCTGGCTTCATATTGGTTCTGCTGCAGCTCTTGCAGCCACTTGGGGAGTGAATCAACAGACAGAAGATCTCTGTCTCCTCCTGTCTATCTGACTTTGCAATAAAAAAATACTTAAAATAGGATAAAATAAAACTAATGGAGAGACAGAAAAGTCTTGCACCTCAGTGTTCTTAGGTGGGTGCCAAGGGCCCAAGTCCGTCATCACCTGGTGCCTCCGGGATGCATCTTAGAAAGCTAGAATGAGGAGTAGAGCTGGGTCTGACACATATACCCTTTGCTCTAATTATTAACTTTCTTTATATGTATAAGATTTATTTGTTTTTGCTGGAAAGTCAGATTTACAGAAAGAAGGAGAGACAAAGATCTTCCTTTTGTTGGTGCGCTCTCCCAGTGACCGCAACAGCCAAAGCTGAACCAATCCAAAGGCAGGAGCCAGGAGCTTCTTCTGGGTCTCCCATGCAGGCTCAGGGTGCCAAGGCTTTGGGCCATTCTCGACTGCTTTCCCAGGCCACAAGCAGGGAGTTGGATGGGAAGTGGAACAGTTGTACTACAAGGCGCCCATATGGGATCCTGGCACATGGCAAGATGAGGATCTTGGCCACTGCCCCTTTTTTTTTGTTTGTTTTGTTTTGGGTTTTGTTTTAATATCTTCTATTGGAAAGGCTGATTTACAGAGGAGAGACTGATCTTCCATCGGCTGGTTCACTCCCCACATGGCTACAACAGCCAGAGCTGAGCTGATCCATAGCCAGGAATTTCCTTTGAGTCTCTGCTGTTTTCCTGGCCAGGAGCAGGGAGCTGGATGGCAAGTGAGCAGCTGGAACACAGAACTAGATTAATAGTGTGCTACCACTTACAGGTGAAGGATTAGCTGATTGAACCATCATGCCAGCCTCTAATGATTAGCTTTTAAAAGTGTATGGGTTGTGCCCACCTCCATAGCCTAGTGGCTATATCCTCATGTTGCATGTGCCAAGATCCTGTATGGGTGCCAGTTCATGTCCTGGCAGCTCCACTTCCCATTCAGCTCCCTGTTTGTGGCCTGGGAAAGCAGCTGAGAACGACCCAAAGCCTTAGGACCCTGAGCCCACGTGGGAGACCTGGAAGAAGTTCCTGGCTCCTGGCTTCACATTGGCTTAGTGGCTTAGCTCCTGCCATGAAGGCCATCTGGGTAGTGAACCAACAGACGGAAGATCTTTGTGCTCTCTAAATCTGCCTTTCCAAAATTTTTTAAGTTTCTAAACATCTTAATTTTAGTTCTGTTTGTCCCAGCTCTCAAATGCATTACACACCATGAACTGATACACATCACCTGCTTCCTCCAGAGCTGTATTATGGGCTGGCAACCAACCCAAACACAACCCTGTAGTTTAGGACACACGCTGTAAATGTGGACAATGTGGTTGATCGGGATAGTAGGCTAAGACACCATTTGTTTGCATCTCGCCCAAAAGTAATAACCTTGAAGAGAAGTAACCCTGTTTCTGGATTCAAGCCTTGAAGTAAATTTTCTGGGGTATTATCAGCACATGGGTTTTTAAAATTAAAATTGTGCATTAGTAAAACATGCTTTGCATTGATCTTGTGTTCCTTAATATCTCGTAAGAAGGAAGATCATACTGTGTCCCCTTTCAGATCTGACGGATACACACTTTACCATCCAGATTCGCCCTCTTTTTTTTTTTTTAATTGGAAAGTCAGATATATAGAGAGGAAGATCTGCCATGTGATGATTCACTCGCCACGTGGCTGCAACGGCCAAAATTGTGCTGATCTAAAGCCAGGAGACCAGAGCCCCTTCTGGTTCTCACACAAGGGACAGGGTCCCAAGGCTTTGGGACATCCTGGACTGCCTTCCCAGGCCACAAGCTAGGAGCTAGGTGGGAAGCGGAGCCACGGGAGTAGAACCAGCGCCCATATGGGATCCCGGTGCGTGGAAGGTGAGGATTCTATTCTTAGTGTCACCAAAATACACCAGGGGACTTTCCAGTGAGAGCAAGGGGCACAATTATAAACAATGTGTGGGGTCAGTGCATCCAGGATTATAGATTGGGTAATTCCTCAGCCCGTTCAGATTAGATGGGCATTTCCTCTCAGTGTCCAGAAGGTACTTGGCATCTAAGTACAAAGGTGCACCTTGAAAAGGGACCTGCAATTGTGTTTATTACAGGTTTTGTTTCTGTGGCGGCATCTAGATGGGATTCCTGAGGAAGCAGGCCAGTCTCAGTGTAGTCCTGTAACTTCCAATACTTATATGTAGATGTGCGTCCGTTTGTTAAGATATTTTCAGCCCCCAGCTCCCTCAACTTGTGCATCCCACCTTCCCCTAGGGTCAGCTGATGTCCGCACGCCCGCCTCGCAGAGGCTGCGGGTGTACCCCGCGGTCCAGCTCCCGGGTCGCGGAGCGGCTGCGGCGCTGGCACCAGTGGGCAGCTCAGGAAATGGACACAGCTCTGTCGGTGCATTCTCTCGCTCGCCCTCTAGCGGCCCCGGAGGGCAGCGCTGACGGGACGGGGGCGGGGCCAGGGCGGCGGAAGTGAAGTCACTTCCGGGTTGGGTGTTTGTTTGGACTGGAGCAGGGAGGCGGCGGGCGAAGCGCACGTCGAGCGGGGGAGCGGCGCTGCCTGTGGAGATCCGCGGAGGCCGACAGGTTTCGTTGGCTGCCGTCCCCGCTGCCGTTCACTGGGTGAGGGTTCCCTTCGGGCAGAGCAGCAAGTTGGGGTGCAGCTGAGGGACAGCACCCTGGCGAGTCTGCGGGGTCTCCAGGGTGCCCCCCGGGTGACTGGCCGCCGGACCCCGTCCTGTCTTCGGTGGCCCTGCTTTCTTTCTTGTCGAATCTGAGGGATGTGTGAGGGTCGGCTCGGTCTCTTTTCTTCTCTGAGAAATGGCCGTCGCTCCCCCTTCTTCCCATTGTCATTCTTTATAATTTGGATCTCGTAGCTCTCTATCCGGGTCCTCGTGGCGCGCGATGGCTGTCGGGATAGCACAGTCGCCCCGCTGGCCGCCCTCCCCTCCCCAGCCATGCGTGCTCCCTGGGGGCCCCCGCACCCCGTTCCCCTCGCCCCTACCCCCTCCGCCGCCTCGGCAACAAAGCTCATTGTTTCTGCCCACTTGACGCCTGCGCGTCGCCACGCGCCGCCCGGGGCCGCTGCGCCTGCGCGTTCCCGCGGAGGCCGGGGTTGGGGGGCCCGAGCGCGCAGGGAGGACGAGCCGGCCCGGCCGGGTCCTGGGGCACCCCCCGCCGCCGCCGCCGCCGCCGGACCTGCAACTGGCTCGGCCTCGGATCGCGTGCTCCAGGTGACAGGGTCGTCGGGACTGCCCACCCCGCTCCCACCCCCCAGGCGTGAGTCTGGGTGCTTGCTCCCCGCCCTCCCGACCACCGCCCCCCGAGGACCACTAAATGAATCTAGGCTGTGGACACGGTGCAAACAGCCGGCAGCGCTAATTCCTCACGACTACCCAGAGGAGACTACTGCCTGTCTCCTTTTGTGGGCTGGCTCTACCTGGTTTTGCAGCCATTGAGAATCACAAATTCTAGAAAGAACTTTGCTTCCCCTTTTCCTTGGGACAGGGGTGGGGAGGTGGGGGTACCTCACAGCTGACAGCTTTTGACATTCGTTTCAGCAGAAGGCAGGTTCCCACTTTGCATGTACCGGCTGGCTGGTCTTATTGCCTACCGTGATGGCCCTGTTAGATGCTCAAGTGAAATTTGTAACAGATTTGCATTTTCATTAAAGAGCCTTTAAATGTGATTGGCCGGTGGTTATGTTTACAGATAAAGAGAGTATTTATATAAAAAAAGAAATAGTGAAAACAGGATTTGCTGTTTGTGTTCTGTTTCTGGTTTGGAAAGACAGGGCATTTGAGGCAAATGCTATTTATGTTATTTTATTGTGACATTGAACAAAATTATGATTCACACCTGTCACAGATGAAAACCAGCAACCTGTCAAAAGTTATAGCTTGTTTCAATGTTTAAGGAATGAGAAGTAGAGAATAGATGAGCCAGAATGGTTAATGCTTGTATGTCCTGCTTCAGAACACACAACATGGGTCATTCCTACCCTCCAGGATGGTGAATTCAACAGGCAGGCTTTTCTTGAATACACACTCAGTGCCTTACTCAGGTTTATTCTTTTATGATTGTAGGATGATATTCCAGTTCTAATGAAATTGAAATACCCACTGTTAGTGCAGCAGTGTGGGGGATGTTGTGGGGATTGAAACAGGTGGAAAATAAGCCCCAGCTCCTTGTGATGTAATAAGCTTTTGTACCTTTTTTTTTTTTTTTTTTTGCTAATTTAAAAACCTTTTTTAAAATTTGTTTATCTGAAAGGCAGAGTTAGGATAGTAATGGCTGGCTCACTCTTGAGAGAGCTCTAGCAACCGCTTGTCGGCCAGGCTGGACCCAGCAGCACAGCACTCCCATCTGGTTTTCTCTGGATGGTGCAGGGCTTCAAGCTCTTCAGTTATCCTCTGCTGCTCTCCCAGGCTCATTAGCAGGGAGCTGGGGCTGCAGTGGAGCAGCTGGGACTTGAACAAGCACTCAGAGGATTCTGGTGTCATCGTTGGTAGCCTAAGTCACTGCACCACAAAACTACCCTCCTGCTGGTACATTCCTCAAATCTCCTAGCCAGGGCTGAGCCGGGCAAAAACCAGGCACCAAGAGCTCCATTTGGGTCTTCCATGCAGGAGGCAGGAACCTGGGTCCTAGAGCCGTCAGCTGCTGCTTCCCATGTGTGCTGGGACTCAGAGTGACACTGGCATGCGATTTGGAATTTCCAACAACGGATCTGTGTCTGCCCTGTAGAGCGATTTTATTTTATTTTTTAGAAGATTAATTTATTGTTACCAATATGACACAGGGAGTTAGGCCTGCAACACCAGCATCCCATTTGAGTGCTGGTTCCAGTCTGAGCTGCTCCACTTCAGATCCAGCTCTCTGCTGGAGGAAGCAGTGGAGGACAGTGTTCCCACTCTGGGAGACCTGGGTGCGGTTCTGGCTGCTGGGTTCCACCCAGCCCAGTCCTGACCAGCCTGGCCATTTAAAGATCAGCCAGAGGATGGAAGATCTTGCTCTGTCACTTTGGCAGTCCTTTCTTGTCACTCTATCTTCAAATAAATGAAGAGAACAGAAAACAAAAATATTTGAAAAGCAGAGTGACAGAGAAAGGGAGAGAGACAAATTTCTACGAGTTCAGTGCTCAGGACAAGCAGAACTAGGCTGAGGTGAAACCAGGAGCCAGCGGTAGCCCAGTCTCCCACGCTGGTGGCAGGGCCCCAGGACTGGAGTTGTCCTCTGCTGCTTTTCCAGGCACATAGCAGGGAACTGGGTCAGAAATGGAGCATCCTGGTGTCAAACAGTGCAGCAGTGTGGGGCACTAATGTCACAGGCAGAGGCTGAACCGGCTGCACAACAACATTGTGGTAAAGCCAGTTTTGTCTTGTCTGGTGTTTGTTTATTGCAAAGGCCAACTTAGCGCCATCCTCCACTGCTTTCCCAGGTCATAAGCAGGGAGCTGGGCTGAAAATGGAGCAGCCGGGACATGAACCTGGCACCTATATGGGATGTTGGCACATGCAGGCAGAGGATTACCCTAGCTTGCCTGTTTCAAAGTTGAATAAAAAGCTTGAGAGATTATTTTATTTAGCAACTATTTCTGTAAGCCTTTAGAAATGTCTTTTTTTTTTTTTTTCCTTAACAGAAAGAGGAGAAACGGAGCTCTTTGATCTGTTGGTTAACATTTGGTTTCTGCAGTGGCCAGGAAGAGCTGAGCTAATCTGAAGCTGGGAGCCAGGAGTTCGCCTTAGTACCTCTTCTCCTAACTCCCCACCCCCCGCCATCCTACATGTATGTGGGTGCCCAAGGTCTTGGGCCATCCTGTGTGCTTTCCCATGCCATAGCAGAAAATTAGATTAAAAGTGGAACAGCTGGGGACCCGGCACAGTTGCCTTGTATGTGCTAGGATGCCATATGGGCACCAGTTCATGTCCCAGCTGCTCCACTTCTCGTCAGGCTCTCTGCTTGTGTTCTGGGAAAGCAAAGCAGTTGAAGATGGCCCAGGGCCTTGGGACCCTGCATTCACATGGGAAGCCTAGAAGAAGCTCCTGGCTCCTGGCTTCAGGTTAGCTAAATCCAGCCAACGTTGCCACTTGGAGAGTGAACCAGTAGATGGAACATCTTTGTCTCTCCTCTCTGTGGATCTGCCTTTCCAATAAAAATAAATACATTCCTTTTTTAAAAAAAGATTTATTTTTATTTTTATTACGGAGTCAAATATACACAGAGGAGAAGAGACAGGAAGATTTTCCATCCAGTGATTCACTCCCCAAATTACCACAACAGCCGGTGCTGCACCGATCCAAAGCCAGGAGCCAGGAACCTCCTCCAGGTCTCCCACATGGGTGCAGGGTCCCAAAGCATTGGGCCGACCTGACTGCCTTCTCAGGCCACATTCAGGGGGCTGGATGGGAAATGGAGCTGCCGGGATTAGAACCGGCGCCCATATGGAATCCTGTTACGTTCAAGATGAGGACTTTAGCTGCTAGGTCACTGTCCTGGGCCCAGAAATAAATACATCTTTATAAAAGGGGGGTGCTTGACACGGTGACCTAGTGGCTAAAGTCCTCGCCTTGCACACCCGGGATCCCATATGGGCGCCGGTTCTAATCCTAGCAGCCCCGCTTCCCATCCAGCTCCCTGTCTGTGGCCTGGGAAAGCAGTCGAGGATGGCCCAAAGCTTTGGGACCCTGCACCTGTGTGGGATACCTGGAAGAAGCTCCTGGATCCTGGCTTTGGATCGGTGCAGTGCAGCACTGGCCATTACGGTCACTTGGGGAGTGAATCAGTGGACAGAAGATCTTCTTCTCTGTCTCTCCTCCTCTGTGTATATCTGACTTTGAGATAAAAATAAAATAAATCTTTTTTTAAAGAAAGTGAAACAGCTGGGATGTGAACCAGTTCTCATATGTATTGCTGGTATTGCAGGCTGAGGATTAGCCACTGCGCTGGCCTTGTCACTTTCTCTAAGAGCTTTCTCAAATATTAACCAAGTTAATACTTAACATTTCTATAAAAGGAAGATAACAAAGGGGACGTGTGAGATAACCTGCCCAGTAGCACATAGCTTGTAATTGCTTGAATTTAGATCCAGATATTCTGTTCCTGGCCATTAAGCTGTGCGGCCTGTGATATAGTGACATGCTCAGGTTGGTCCTGTTGGTGGTTAACAGTATAGCTGGAACTTGAACTTAATTCATTGCTATTGTTTAAAATTCACTTCAGAGGCAAAGAGAGATGCCGCTGCCGTCTGTTGATTCAGTGTCCCAAGTTCCAGCAACTGCGTGCACTGCGGTAGGCCAGGAACCCCACTTCCTGAGCCTTCAGTGTTGCCTCTCAAACTTCTGAGTGGAAAGGAGAAACTGATGGGTTTTGTTTTTTGGGTTTTTTTTGTATTTGAAACAGAGAGACAGATACGCCCTGCATCAGCTGGTTTACCCCCTGGGCTCCGACAGCCAGGACCAAATCAGGCTGAGGGCAGGAGTCCTTGAGCTGTTCCACTGTTTCCCCAGGCACATTTTTAAGGAGCTGGATCAGAAGCCAGCTCATCCAGGTGCTCATGGGACACTCAAGTCAGCTCAGTGATGCAGCTTTCTAGTAAGGCGCTCTCTGGGGAGCAGCAGGTGATGGGCTGAATGCTTGGCTTCCTGCCCCGGTGCAGCTGGTTCCATCTCCGGGTTTCTGCCTGGCCCACCCCCTCCATGTTTTAGTTCCTTGGGAAGTGAACCTATATTTGGAAGATGCTTGTCTGTATCTGTCTATTTGCCTTTCAAATAAGATGAAGAAAAAGTTTTAAAAATATAACCTTATTTTTAAAAAGATAATGCTAAAAAGAAATGTGATAGAGTGTAAGAGCTTACACCTTATTTAAATATCTCATAGAGACTATAAATTTACAGTTGTCAGCCAGTATGTCTAAGAGGCGTTTTAGTAGGTAGGGCTAAACAACTGAAGACTGAATTTGACAAAAGCTTTAGTTTGTAAATTAAAAAGGTTTGCAGACTTTGAAGCTGCATTGATAGGAAAAAGTATTCCTACCTAACCAGAACATAGTGAAACTGATCAACTTGTCCTAGCTCTTGCCTCTTTTTTTTTTTTTTTTAGATTTATTTGTTTTTATTGCAAAGGCAGCTATACAGATAGGAGAGAAGATCTCCCATCCAATAATTCACTCCTCAAGCGGCTGCAGTGGCCATAGCTGCGCTGATCCAGAGCCAGGAGCCTCTTCTGGGTCTTCCATGCAGGTGCGGGGGTCCCAAGACTGGGCCATCCTGGACTGCTTTCCCAGGCCAAAAGCAGGAAGCTGGTTGGGAAGCGGGGCCCCTGGGATTAGAACCGGCACATTCAAGGCGAGGACTTTAGCCAGTAGACTACCGCACAGGGCCCAGCTCTTACCTCTTTTAAGGGGATACTTCATCTGGGTCTCTTATGTGGGTATCGGGCCCACACATTTGGCAATCTCCCATTGTTTTTCCCAGCCAGTAGCAGGGAGCTGGATGGAAAATGAAGCAGGCAGGGCTTGAATCTTTGCCCTTATGGGACGCAGCTACTCACTATACCACGGCACTGGCTCCTAGTTACCTTCTTAAGGGTTACCCTGGGGATTATTAATGTTTTCCTTTGTACCAATATAGTTTGAATTAATACTTACCATTTAAAAAATTTAATATAGCTGTCATTTCCCCCTTGTTACTGATAAAGTATAAATTGTATGCCTGTTAATCTTAATTTATAATTGTTTCATACATTTGTCTTTTAAGTCATAAAAAGGAAGAGTTACAAACTGGAAATATATTATTACCCTGTTTTGTGTTTACTTGTTTAGTTAGGTTTCTTTATTTCTTTGTGTGGATTCACATTAATGTCTACTAATCTTTCATTTCCGCTTGAGTGACTCATTTTAGGTTTTCTTATTGGCAGACCTACAAATGACAAATGTTTGGGTTTTGTTTTTCTGGGAATGACTGGATTTCTCCTTGACATTTGAAAGACTAGTTTCGCCAAGACATGGATTTCTTGGTTCAGTTTTTTCCTCTTGGCATTTTGAGTATGATTCCTGTGGTATCCATGGTTTCTAATGAAAACTGTGCATTCTCTCTGCCATGGCTCACACCAGTCACAATAACTGAGAGATGGCAGATAGAGTTCAAGTGATTGGGACTCCTTCCTCCCACATGGGCTGCCTGGGTAGAGTTTGAGGTTTCTGGCTGGGTTTGTCCCAGCCCTGACTCTTGCAAGCATTTGGGAGATAACAAGAATATAGAAACACATACAGCTAACATAGAAACACACACACACACATTCATAGACTATAGAAACACACACAATCTTCTGTCTGCCTTTCAGGTAGATGAAAAAAAATATTTAGAAAATAGTAGGGCCTGGCGCGGTGGTGCAGTGGTTAAGGTCCTCACCTTGCACACCTGGGATCCCATATGGGCGCCGGTTCTAATCCTAGCAGCCGCTTCCCATCCAGCTCCCTGCCTGTGGCCCGGGAAAGCAGTCGAGGACGGCCCAAAGCCTTGGGACCCTGCACCCGCGTGGGAGACCCGGAAGAGGCTCCTGGCTTCGGATTGGCACAACTCAGGCCGTTGCGCTCACTTGGGGAGTGAATCATCGGACGGAAGATCTTCCTCTCTGTCTCTCCTCTCTGTCTCTCCTCTCTGTATATCTGCCTTTCCAATAAAAAAATAAAATAAATCTTTAAAAAAAGAAAGAAAGAAAAAAGAAAATAGTAAAGCCACCTTGACTTGAACTTTACCATTATTTAGTAGATACATAACCTGAAACAAATTACTTAATACTTAATTTTCTCATTATTAAAATGAGTTTACTCTTCATACCTACATAAGGTGAGTTTGGTCCTAGTACCTACATTCATATGATTTTGTTGAGGGAGGAATTTATTACTGCATATGCATGTGCTTTTGGGGGAAAATATATAAAAAATATTAATTGTGGTCTCTTTTGAGGAAAGGATTTGGAGTGAGAAGTGTGTTTGGTGGTCAAGAGGAGAACAGTCACCTTTTTCCACTCATTTTTTCCACCACAGTTGAAAATGTACAACTAAAATGCTAACATTAATAGAACATACTTGTAAGTATATACACAAGAACTAAAAACATGTTCCTATAAAACATGAACACAGATGTCCATAGTATTACTCATAATAGCCAAAAGGCAGAAACAGTCCAGATTTTCTGCAGTTGATATGTGGATGTATATATATGAATAATATTTGGCAGTGAAAGGGAATGAAGTGCTAATATATGCTAAACAAAGATAATTGAAAATGTGAATGGAAAAAGCCATACAGGAGCAGCTGTATGTTCTAAAATTCTGTTTAAATGAATGTCCAGAATAGGTAGGTTCATGGAGAGATAAGATTGGTGGTTGCCAGAAACTATGGAGAATGGTTGTTAGTGGGTACAGGGTTTGTTTTTAGAATGTTAAAAAAAAAAAGTTCCGGAATTAATGTAGTTGTGATGGTTGCAAACCTTACAAAAACCAATACAGTAGATAATGTAAAGTGGCAAATTTTGTGGCATATGAACCATGTCAATTTTAAAAATGTATTGTCATTTATTTGAAAGGCAGAGATAGGTAGTCAGTTATTCTATTCACTGGTTCATTCCCAAAATGTCCTCAACAGCTGAGGCCGGGTCAGGCTGAAACAAGGTGCTCAGAACTCAGTCAAGGACTCCTTGAAGGGCGAGGACACCTGCTGCCTCCCAACGTGTTCCTCCTCCTTAGGAAACTGCATCCAGAGCAGAAGATAAAGAGACATTTGTGCCAGGCAGTTTTTAATTGCCACACCAAACACATGCTACTATTTCTCAGTTTTCACAAACAGTTTAGGACATGAACATAGAAAGGACCTGCTTTGAGATCTAAATGTGATACCTGGTAGTAATACATGATAAGAAGAAAATGAATAACTGGATTGATTTTCTTTTAAGGTTAAAAACGACAACTAACGCCAACCATGAAAGATCCAAGTCGCAGCAGTACCAGCCCAAGCATCATCAATGAAGATGTAATTATTAACGGTCATTCTCACGAAGATGACAATCCATTTGCAGAATACATGTGGATGGAGAATGAAGAGGAATTCAACAGACAAGTTAGTTTTATGAACCTGTTTTTTTATAATCCATTACAATCCTCAATATTCATCCCTGAAATACTTTTTAATTTTTTTTAAAATATGTATTGATTTGAAAAAATGGCAGAGAGATAGGTCTTCCATCGTCTCTTCAGATGCCCACAGGGACCAGCAAGGGCTAGGCTGAAGCCAAAAGCTGCATTCTGTTCTGTCATGGTGGGCAGTGATGGAGCTATTTGCTGCTGTTCCCAGGCCGTTAGCAGAGACCTGGATCATAAGTGAAGCAGCTGGGACAGGACCCAATGTCCGTACAAGAAGGCAGCTTTACTCGCTACACCATAATGCCAGCCCCCTGAATTCTTTTCTTTTTCTTTCTCTCTCTCTCTTTTTTTTTTTTTTTTTTTAATATCTGGCTATCTATGAAGTAAATAGAAATGCATACATGCACTTCTGCTTTATTTAGATGCTGGTTACAACAAGATTTAACTGCTCCCTGAAATTACTTGCAGAGCTGGTTTCCAGGTCCCACCTAGAGATTCTGATTCAGGACGAAGGTGGAGCCTGAGAAACTGTTGCTCAAAAACTCCCGGTAATTCCAGTCAGCACTCAGGTTTGGAAACTACTGCCCTTTATCAATTTAGGAATCAAAATGGGCAGATCTTAGGGTGCAGAGTGAAGCTGTTTTTCACCTGATGTCTCTGATATAATTAGTTTTTTTTTTTTTTTTAAGATTTATTTTTATTATTTTCTCATTGGAAAGGCGGATATACAGAGAGGAGAGACAGAGAGGAAGATCTTCCGTCCGATGATTCACTCCCCAAGTGAGCGCAACGGGCCGATACTATGCCGATCCGAAGCCAGGAGCCTCTTCCGGGTCTCCCACGCGGGTGCAGGGTCCCAAAGCTTTGGGCCGTCCTCGACTGCCTTCCCAGGCCACAGGCAGGGAGCTGGAAGGGAAGCGGGGCTGCCGGGATTAGAACCGGCGCCCATATGGGATCCCGGGCGTGCTAGGCGAGGACCTTAACCACTTGTGCCACCGCGCCGGGCCCTGATATAATTAGTTTTGAAAAAAATGACACCACGATTGTTTTTTGTTGTTGTTGTTATTGTTTGATTTTTGTTTTGTTTTTTAAAATTTATTTATTTTTATCGGAAAATCAGATATATATACAGAAGGAAAGACAGAGAGGAAGATCTTACGTCCGATGATTCAATCCCCAAGTGACCATAACGGCCGGTGCTATGCCCATCCGAAGCCAGGATCCAGGAGCTTCTTCCAGGTCTCCCACATGGGTGCAGGGTCCCAAGGCTTTGGGCCATCCTTGACTGCTTTCCCAGGCCACCAGCAGGGAGCTGGATGGGAAATGGAGCTGCCAGGATTAGAACTGGCACCCATATGGGATCCCGGTGCATTCAAGGCGAGGACTTTAGCTGCTAGGCCACTGTGCTGGGCCCACCCTTGTTTGTTTGTTTGTTTTAAAGCACATTCAATACACTGATGATTGTTAACTTTTATCATTTTTTTCTGTGTGTTTCTTCCTATCTTCTAATTTCCCCTCCTGATCATGGCTTTGGTAGTAACTTCATTTCTCTGTGTCCAAATGATGGATATTTAAGAGTAGGGCCTGGTACAGTGGCCTGCTGGCTAAGTCCTCACCTTGCATGCTCTGGGATCCTGTATGGGCACCAGTTCATGTCCCAGTTGCTCTACTTCCCAACCAGCTCTCTGCTTGTGGCCTGGGAAAGCAGTCAAGGACGGCCCAAGGCCTTAGGACCCTGTTACCCACATGGGAGACATGAAGGAGGCTCCTGGCTCCTGGCTTTGCATCAGCTTGGCTCTGCCTGTAGCAACCACTTGGGGAGTGAAGCAACACATGGAAGAGCTTCCTCTCTGTCTTTCCTCCTCTATATATATCTGATTTTCCGATAAAAATAAATAAATTTTAAAAAACAAAACAAAAATCAATCAATCAATCTTGCCTCCTCTCTGTGTATCTGACTTTCTAATAAAAATAAAATAAATCAGAATAAACTAGTTTACTCTTGATTTTAAAAAAGATTTTTTATTTGTTTATTTTTATTAGCAGGGAGATAGATTGGAAGTAGATCAACTGGGACTTAAACCAGTGCTCATGATAGCCTAGTAGCTAAGTCCTTAGCCTTGCACTTGCCAGGATTCCATATGGGCACCAGTTCATGTCCCATCTGCTCCTCCCATCCAATTCTTTGCTTATGGCCTAGGAAAGCAGTCCAGAATGGTGCAAAGCCTTCGTACCCTACACCTGTGTGGAAGACCCAGAAGAAGCTGGTATCTCCTGGCTTTGCATCAGTTTAGCTCCAGCTTTTGGCCACTTGGGGAGTAAACCAGCAGAACAGGAAGATCTTTCCTCTATCTGCCTGTCTAATAAAAATAAATAAATCTTAAAAAAAAGTGCCACTTAGTACACCTTTCATCCCATGGCAGAGTGCCTTGGTTCCTTTCAATTCCAGCTTTCTGCACTGTGTAGTCCGAGAGAAAGCAAATGATGACTCATATATTTGGGTCCTTGCCACTTATATGGAAAACCTGAATTGACTTCAGGCTCCTAGCTTTGGCTTCTCCCAGTCCCAGCTATTATATACATTTCGGAAATAAACCATCAGATGTATTTGTGTGTCTGCTTTCAGAAGAGCTTTTGTGTAAATCTCCCATTCACTCGTTAGATACCCCCAACAGTTGTACCTGGACCAGGAACTCCACCTGTGGTTTCCATGTGAGTGGCAGGGTCCCAGTAGATCTTTCAGGGTCTTTTTGGTGAGTATTTTCCCCTTAGCACACAAGCAGAAAACATATATGTGACATTATTTTTTTAAGTGACTTAGTTCAAAATATTTTAAGCTTTTCCTGGAGCTGATTTACCAGATACTCTATAAATTATGTTTTACTTATTACAAACCTAGATAGAAGAGGAGTTATGGGAAGAAGAATTTATTGAACGCTGTTTCCAAGAAATGCTGGAAGAGGAAGAAGAACACGAGTGGTTTATTCCAGCTCGAGATCTCCCACAGACTATGGACCAAATCCAAGACCAATTTAATGACCTTGTTATCAGTGATGGCTCTTCTCTGGAAGATCTTGTGGTAAAAAGTTATTTTTCATCTTTATAGATCCTAGTGCATCTTTCCCATACGTGGAAAAGCAGCCACCATCTGTGTAAGAAGAGTTCCGCATATCTTTCCCCTCCAGAAAGTGCGCACTGCCTCTTAGGGTGCAAGTGGGAGCCTCCCAGTCGCACTGGGGAAACGGACTGACTGCTGGCAGCACTGTGGAGTTAGTTAGATCATTAACAGACTTCTTGGCACCTCTACTAATCAGGACGTTGCCTGTCGGTCTTGATATTGCCTTAGATGTTAAAATGTTTTAAACAAAAAAATACCATATGATTTGCCTATATAAACGTAGCTTGATGGAGAAGTTTTAATCTTGTCTTACTAAACTCTTGATGGTATTTGTGAAACTTGATTTTTAAAGTTTGGAGATCCTTTGAGACCTGTAGTTCTCACTGAGGGTGCACAGTTCACTTAACATTGTGACTCACTAAGGAATTTTACAAGCTTTTGGCAGAAAAAAGGACACAAACATAGATTCACATTTTTAGTTATTCCTGGTGTCTCACTCCTAATGATATGCTTGCAGTAAATGTATTTTTTAGAACTATGATTGCTAAACAGCAGCACTAAAGTAGAACCTTTATCCAGTGATAATTCCATCCCTGGAGTAACTGTTTTGTTCATGTTTATAATCTCTAGCTGCTCATACAAAATAGCTCCCTGGAATTTACTTAGTGGTCTCTGGCATATTTTACAAGTTTCCTCTGATTTCCTAATGTACCTATCATAGTTACCTGTGAGGTATTAAAAACATAAATTGTTCCTCAGCTCTGTATCAGACCTGGAGGATCAGTGTGGGCAGGTTCATTTTGTTAAAGGCAGGCCAGAGACACTGTGCAGTCAGCCTGCTCAGAGAAATTCTTCTAAAGGACTGCAGAGGGAACGTGACATAGCCTTTGCAGGGCCAGAGTGATATGAGTGGTCTCAGGACATACTTGCTTACGGCTACATTAGTCATGTTACAGATCATTCTGATAGCTGTACAGTAGTAAGGCTGTTTACTGTGCTGGAGGTATAGTTACAGTTTAGATTTAGTGTGATTCCATGGCAAAAACTGATTTCTCCTACTCAGGCTATTTCAGATTACTTCAATTCATCCTCTTTCTTATGCAGCCGCCAGAACTTTATACATTGCAGAGTGCTACTTTTTAATGTAAACCTAACAGTTTTAAAATATAGCTTTCCTTGGGGGAAGGGAGAATATATCCTATCCAAGGAAATTCTTGTATATAAATTATGAAACTGAAAATAATTGCTCCAGAATGTTTAATATGCTTGGTCTTCGAGTAAGTGACACAGGAATCTGGTTCAGTGCAAAAGCCTGTCAGTGTACCTGCATTTCAGGCCCTAGAGTCTGTCCTGTTTCGTTTTCATCTTTAGCTGCTTGCAATCCAGAATGGCACGGGGGAGTTTCCAGCTGTTCCTCCTGTGCACTGATGTTTGCTAAGGAGAGTAAAGATTTAGGCCCAGAGTGACAACCCAAGTCTCTAGATGCTCTAGTCGCCTTGGTAGCCCGTTTCTCTTTTCCTTAGCTGATGGGAATGCTGAGTGGTTTATCCCAGCTTCCACAGGACAGTGGAGGAGAGCAGGAGCTTCAGGTGTAGACCTTCTGGCTCCCCAGATAATTTTCTTTCCCTGTTACATACCATGTTTCCTGTGGGAATTAGAAGATAACAACTGTAGAAAAACAACTCCATATTTTCTGTGAGGATTTTAAAATGAAATTAATGGATCAGCATCTTTGCATTTATTGTAATTAGGACTTCAACATTTGTTTAACATGTTCACAAGATCTAAAAGTATCAAAGTGTCACAGTAAAGTTGTTCAGAGCTATTTCTTGAGTTTATGTGAAGTAAGGTTTAAATTCAATTCCTTTGACCTCTTAGAAAGTTGCTGTTATATGGTATATAATTTACATTTGGTTCCTCCTCTTTCTGCTATAGACTTTTTGAGTTAACTCTAAGTTTATGCTCTGACTTCTTACTTTTGACATTTTTGGAAGATATTTTTTGCATGTGGATCTAGGTTGAATGCATCTCAGTATCTGAAGCCATCTGTAATGAACTTGCTTTTTTATGTACTTATTTTCCAGGTCAAGAGCAATCTGAATCCAAATGCAAAGGAGTTTGTTCCTGGGGTGAAGTACTAAAATATCTGAGTAGACGGGGCCCTCTTTTGGTGGATGTAGCACAATTTCCACACTGTGAAGGCAGTATTAGAAGACTTACTTGTAAAAGCTCTCTCTTGTCACTGTGTTACACTTATGCATTGCCAAAGTTTTTGTTAGTCTTGCATGCTTAATAAAAAGTGCTGAGACTGTTATAAAGTAAAAAGCTCTCAAACATTGACTGCAAATAGAATCAAGCCCCAAGGCTTGATGTGAAGACAGCGAGGAAAGAAGCACCAGGCAAGTTGTGACAGAGCGCCCAGTGAATCGATCTCTAAATCTTAGAAATGACTGGACAGTTTTGGGGCTAAACTGGTCCTGTATGGCTAACTAAAACTTGTTAATGCCTAAACATTAAAAAAAAAAAAAACGAATAAATGTAAATTAAGTTCTAATTGTTCAGTAGATTTCTCAGTTAAGAGTTAAATTTGCATTTGTCCTTATCAAAAAATTTTTTTTCTTCCAAAGTGTTAAGTTCAAATAATTCATTATAGACAAATGTGTCTTTGGTTACCAGGGTTACAAGGTAACAGTTGATCGGTTGAGAACCAATCCTGGATTTTCTGGTATATTATCATGTTAGAAATACTGAATTCTCCTAATGTAATGTCGGAGGGAGTATGCAACTCGAGAATTACATCATAGCTATACCCTAGTGAAGTCTAACAAAGACCAGCAGCAGCCGTAATCCAACTGAACAGACACTCTAACATGATTTGAGTGGTGCTTTTCCTTGCTTTGTTAACCATCCCTATAGTCTGCAGCACAACTTTTCTTTTAACAAAGCTAGAACAATTTTGGCTTCTTAAACTTCATATTTGGGTAGGTTAAGCTGCCATACGTGTTCAGTGTGAATAGTGTTTAAGTTGAAAATATTGTAAAAAAATTATATTTTTTCAAAAATATTTAAAAAAATAAATAATAGTAGAACTGACCTGATGGTTGTGTTTATTGGTGTTGGAATGCAGACTCTTTAGTGGCGACACTTGGTGTGGGTCCAGGACAACACTGCCAACATAATGCGCTGAGAGCAGGATTTGTCAAAACTATATAACAAGTGTGTTGTTAGCTAATATAGTTTTGCAGCATCTGTCCAAAATACTGCAGTAAAACAAGCCCAGTTGCCCCATTCTTCAACACCTGGGACTGCAGGGTCACAGTCACAGCCATGTGAGGAGTCTAAGGCTGACCAGGGTAATTGCGACCTGACTTCAGTGTAGTTGGTTTTTGTCCTTTACAAGGACTTTCCTTGAACTTATTGGGCCAAAAAAGGTTAAGAAGGCCATGTAGTTAGGTGTGGCTCATACTCTTTTTTGTTGTTGTTGTTGTTAAGTTTATTTTCGTCTACTTTCAAGTCAACACTGAAAATTTCTATACACCGTTTACGACAGTAACCAGGGCTTAGCTGGGTCTGCTGCATGGATAGTTGGGCCTTCTTTGGGGCCATCATCTGCTGCTTCACAGGAATCTGAATTGGAAGTGAACATACTGAGACTCAAACTAGCACTTTGGGAGAACAGTACATGCTCAACAGGCTAATCCTTTGCCTACAAGCTGGCATCACATGGGTACCAGTTCGTATCTCAGCTGTTCCATTTCTGATCCACTCCCTAGTTTAAAAAAAAAAGCAACAAAAACTAGGAATGCAGTTTTGAAGAGGCACTAAGACACAGTGAATCCCTCTGTTCTCAAGACAGCTCAGCCCTGCATATTGTGGCACAGCATGCTGCCACATAGGTGAAGCTTACAAGTCCTTTCTGAGGTCAGAGGGACAGATGAGTTCATTGCTACATACTGCCAAATTAGTGTGGCACAGTATAACTAAAAGTTAAACCAGAAGTCAAGTGGTGCTGTAAGGTTAGAGGAGAACCTGACCTCATGGTTCGCAGAAATACAAATCCATGGTCATGGTCATACTTAACCTTAGCTACATCTGTAAAATGGTAGGCTAGGCTGAACAGCTCCAGTATAAAAATGGAAAAATCAGAAATGCTCTAAAACCAGGAAATTTGAGCCATGCTGCTCAGAAAGTTTCACATATCAGATTTTGATATTAGGGATGTTCAGCTGTTAAAGTCCACGTAAATATTCCAACATTCCAGAAACTGAAATCTGAAATATTTAATGGTCACTGGTGTTTCCTAAGAGGGCTACTCCACATGTAGTCTAGATCTTTGGATTGCAGGCTGGGTTAACACTCACCAAGCACCTACTGCAGTCCTGGCACACAGAACGTCCCTGGAACTGGTTGTAATTATGATCATTACAGAATCTAGGCCAAGCTCTTGGTTTGGTTTGCATTTTGTGAAGGGTCACATGGAAACAACCCCAGTGCTTTTAATAGGGAAGCCAGGGGCCTGGCACGGTGGCCTAGTGGCTAAAGTCCTCGCCTTGAACGCGCCAGGATCCCATATGGGTGCCGGTTCTAATCCTGGCAGCTCCACTTCCCATCCAGCTCCCTGCTGGTGGCCTGGGAAAGCAGTCGAGGACGGCCCAATGCTTTGGGACCCTGCACCCGTGTGGGAGTCCTGGATCCTGGCTTTGGATGGGCACAGCACCAGCCATTGCGCTTACTTGGGGAATCATCAGACGGAAGATCTTCCTCTTTGTCTCTCCTCATCTCTGTATATCTGACTTTCCAATAAATAAATAAATCTTTTTTTTTTCAAGAAACATACATTTTTTTTAAAGATTTATTTTATTTTTATTGGAAAGGCAGATATACAGAGAGGAGAGACAGAGAGGAAGATCTTCCGTCCGATGATTCACTCCCCAAGTGAGTGCAACGGCCAATGCTATGCTGGTCCAAAGCCAGGTGCCTCTTCCAGGTCTCCCACGCGGGTGCAGGGTCCCAAAGCTTTGGGCCGTCCTCAACTGCTTTCCCGGGCCACAGGCAGGGAGCTGGATGGGAAGCGGGGCTGCCGGGATTAGAACTGGCACCCATATGGGATCCCTGCATGTGCAAGGCAAGGACCTTAACCACTGCGCCACTGCACCGGGCCCAATAAATAAATCTTAAAATAAATAAATAAATAAATAGGGAAGCCAGGCTTCTGTATTCCCGATGGAGAGAGAAAGTTTCAGAGCATCAGCTGCCCACACATGAGGAAACCCCAGGAACGAATGGGACCTGTACTGGTTTCAGTTTAAGGTAATAAGCCATCCATCCTGTTTCAGAGGTTTTAATGTTATGACCACTATTGAAACAAGGCAGCATATGAGAGAGGATTTTTGCTGTGTCAGCACTTCCCAACTTGTGCTATGTCCTAGCAAAGTAGCACTTGTCTTAGTGTACTGGATGGAGTGCAAGGCTGAGGCTGCCCGTCGCTGCAGTGACTAGGTCAGGGCCTCCTGCTGGCCTAGATTCTGCCGAGAGGGACCTGAAAGACAGAAGGGATGAGTATTTCAGCGTATTTACAACCTCTTGGTGCCCACACCAGTCAGAAGGCTCTATTCTCACTGTAACATGTCAAGGGAGTTCCCACACCCGACCCCAGAGCCCAAGCACTGGCTTTTCACACAGCCCTCCTTCCCGTGTAGGACACTCCACAGGTCACAAATGTGGAGTCATTCAGGCTTTCTTTGGTTAAAGGATTAATAATGTTATGGTTCTTTAATCCTCACAGAAACCACAGACACATCCTACCTTTTCTAGAAGTAGTTTTTTCAGACTTTGGTGCACACAGATCTACTTTCTGTGTTCTCTGGAGTGTCTTCTGGAAGTGAAGGCTTATCTTTAGACTTTGAAGAAAATCCTTTGAAGAAGGGGCAGATAGGAATGTATCTCAAAAAAGTAATCCTTTTCAGCATTCCCATCCCAAAAGGAAAGTCGTAGCTCTTGAGGCTGGCAGATGTCTCACTACTGTCGTGGGCCCCAGCCTTCCACTGGATCAGACCTCGTTCCTCTGGGCTCCCTGGAAAAGGACAAAGGGGTCATTAACGAGCCAGCAACCCTCTACCACGTCCCCTTCCCTTATCATCCTCAGGCACCATTCTGGAAGGACGTGTCTTAAGTACAACCTAGTCCTAAAAAGTGATGACTGCACAATTTCTGAGCTCCTAACATTGCCAGGGCTTCAGGGACCCTCAGGAATACTAGTCAGTTTCCTTCATAACTAGTGTGCCAAGCTCTATGCTAAGCACCTTAATCGTATTTCATTCCTCCAAAACTACTCCAGAGGGGCATATAGACACTGTTACACAAACCTTTATCAAGAAGAAGACCCAAAAGGACAATAATTGCAAGTGAATCTGGGTGCTGGGAAAGTCACTCTTTGAGGCTAAGGATACTCCAAATAATGCTGACAAATAGGATTCTTACGGAGGGAGAGGGGTATAGGAGAGGTTCTCGAACTGGGGTTGACAGGCTGTGACATGCTCAAGGTCTGGTGGGGAAAGTGAGGGATTTCCACGGGGTGGCAGTCAGATGAGCTGGAGTCCTTGAAGATGATGTGCATTTTCTAAAGCGTCTGCACACCCTGCTGGCTGCTGAGCTGAAGGATAGGGGTGTGATGGGTAGGTCACAGCCTTCAGGGGATCATGCTCCCACCAGATGGCCTTTTCCACTTTATCATCATAAAGTTTACAGCTGCTCCAGACTGCAGCCCAGCTACCTTAAATGGAAATGACTGAGAACTGTGGCTCAGCACTCATTTATCCACAGGACAGATGCTACCCCAAACTCCCTCCTCAAAGTCCTACCTAAAATCCCCTGCAGTCCCAACCCTCTCCCCACCTCTCTGTCCCACCGTCACAGCTGTGCACAGCCTTGGACTCCTAAACCGAATACTTGTGGGCATTCAGAGTGGGTGCAGACAGGACTGTGACTGTACCTGAGCCACTGAGTGACTGGGCATGCAGGGCTGCCACTTTGCCCCTACCATCCATGGTGTCCAGTTGCAGCCATGGACCTCCATCTCCCTGGAACCTTCTCCAGCCGCTCTCCCTCCCCCAGGCAGGCAGTGAGGAGCAGTGCTTCTCAAATGTGCTAAGGTAAATGTTACAGATCCAGATTTGCAACATTTTAGACACTTGGCTCCATACCTGGCCCATAGTAGATGTTTCACAAATATTAGAACACCTGATAACACTTTGTTTTATATGCCAATGCTTATTTGTTAGAGGGAGAAAAAAAATGATGAATTTCAATATTTTACACCAAGATAAACTTGCTTTTTTTTAAAATGCTGGTTTGCATGAACTTTTTGAAGTTCCCTGCTAGGCAAGTAAGAGGGGTCTTTGGAACACCACAGATTACCCTCCATGGTCCTTGCAAAGATTGCTGACACCAAAGTGAAGTGCTGCAGGCCCTTGTGCTAGCCCATGTGGAAGGCCACTGCCCTGTAGAGTGGCTTTTACCAATAGATACAGGGCATTTCCCTCCAGCTTACTGTGAGACAGCAACAGGGGTCCCTAACCCTTCAAGAACTCCAGCCTTGTCTGGTTCTCTCTCTCTCCCTGCAGGACCTGCATCACTGGGGGTCTGACCACAGCTCCAGCCCTGACCATTAGGTGGAGTGCGTGGGTGTCCAGGCTGGTTCTAGGCTGCACCAGTTCCACACCCCTTGCCACCAAAACTGGCCCGTTACCTGGCACGGTGTTGTCCAGTATGAAGGCGATGCACCCTCCCACAAACATCTCAGTGGTCAGTAGCACGGTGAGAATCTGGTCCACTTCGGGAACACCTGTGGAGAGGCCACGGACTGGTGGGTGTCCCAGGCCCATCTGGAGAGCAGGGCTTGGACTGCCCACCTATGTGGCCTACTGATTCCCTTGGTTAGTGCTGGCACTACAGTGCCCAATGGCCCTGGCTTTCAGGCCTACCTCTACCCGTATCACTCCCATCTATGGATCCAAATCCCAGGAGAGCACAACAGCCGTGCACAAGCCCAGCCAAGTCCTTGGCTGCTGGCCTCGTGTAACTGGGTGGAGCCCACCTTGATTCTGCAGACAGTGAATAGCGAGACACACCTGTGTTGATGGCTCCTGGATGGGAATCCAGGTAATTGGGCAGCGTGAGTCCGAAGAATATGGGAAATCCGAGCACGAAGAGGTTTCGGGAGGAGTTCAGGTCCACGAACTGCAGGTTGGACAGGCCCACGGCCGTAATCATGCCTGCGGGCACAGGACAGCCGCTAGGGGCGCTGTGCGGCTAGAGGGCCGTCCTTCCCTCCCTCCCGCGCCGCGTCCCGCGCCCAGCACTCACCAAAGAGGGTGCAAAACATACCCCCTAGAATGGGGTCAGGGAGTGAGGCGAAGAGGGCCGTGAACTTGCCCACGACTCCCAGGATCAGCATGATACCCGCACCAAATTGCACCACGCGCCGGCTGCCCACCTGATGGGGCGGGGAAGGGGGGGGAGCAAGGGGTGGAGCTAGAGCCTTGAGAAAAACCCAGCCCTAAATACACGGGCCAAACGCCCTCTTCCCCATCGCTCTTCCCCTCACTCCCCATAGCCTCCCCAAGACAGGATGAGCTAGACTGGGACCAGGCACTGCGGCCCACGCTCATGGCTGTACCTTGGTAATCCCCAGAACGCCAATGTTGGGACTGGACGAAGTGGACCCGTTGCCTGTGCCCAGCAGCCCCGCGATAATGCAGCAGATGCCTTCGGTGAAGATACCCCTGCAAGAGAAGCATGAGTAGGCGGCAGGTTGGCCCCCTTCCCCAGTCCCTGACCTCCTGTCAGCCTCTCCTGTGACCTTCGGGCAGAGCCACAGAGGGAGGTTTGGCAGGCAGGAGTGCAGATCCCAGAGCCTGGCCCTATTGTGGCCCCCACTTCCCTCCTTTCCTCATCTCTGAGTTCAGCGAGTTGATCAGCAGCTCACAGCAGAGTCTCTCTGAGGCCAGATTAGGCTGGGGGCACTTGCCACACTCCTCAGCTGTTTCCAGCTGAAAGGGAGTAAGGAATGCACACCACCACCATTCCCCTCTCCCCCCAAGCACAGAACCGAGGCCTGGGCAGTGCTCACCACCTGTCTCAGTCTCCACCCCCTCCATAATTTGCCCCATCGAGAACATGAGATAGGGAGGCAGCCAGGCGGGCACACCTGTTGATAGCATGCACAGGAGGGGGTGGTGCGCCAGCCAGCCGGGCACAGGCGTAGTAATCTCCAATGGACTCAATGATGCCTGCCAAGGTGGCACTGAACATCCCCAACACAGCAGCCACAGTCACCGTGGGCAGGCCCCACTGACCTGGGGTCAAGGGAGACGGGATGACACAGAGAGGCAGCTATGGCAGGCAGGACATTACCTGAGTAGGCTCTCTAGCTGAGCAGGGTAGCACACAGCCCTGGGAGATGACGGGCAGGAGTAGCATGGAGCCACACAGCTCTGCTGGACACTTTGGGAACATTTGGCTCCCAGGGAGTCTTGGAGCAAGGCAGAGGATCCCCAGGGGGTGGCTCACAAGGGTAAGGGATGCGGATCCAGGGTGCAATGGCCATGATGTCCCCACGGGCATCGGTGCGTGCCTGAAAGCCATAGGCTGAGGAGTCTGCAGGCAGCACGTTCGTCAGGGTGAGGATGTAGCATAGCAACCACACAGTCATGATGGCCAGCACGATCTGAAGGAACGCAGGGAGCACACAGGAGGCACGGGGCATCTCAGGCCAGGCACCGCCACTCCTACCTGCAGCCTGGCCCCAGCTGAAGCTCAGTTCTTGGTCCCCTCTGCCTGGCTTGCCTTCCCATGCCATCCTTTTCCTTGCCCCCACCTTGGCCCTGGTCCAGCCTCTGCCCTAGTCCCGGCCTGAGCCTCCTGCCAGCTCCTTACCGGGAACATCTTGAAGATCTGGATGCGATAGACAGTGATGCCCTTGCCCCAGCGGTAGATGGGCAGCAAGAAACTGACATTGCGCAGGTACTGGGAGAAGAGGATGATCAGGAGAATGGCACTGGAGGGGCAGAGGCACAAGCAGGAGGCGGCAGTTGGTGAGGCTGTGGCAGGGCAGCACGAGGGTGTGGGAACGGGGTCTGGGGCTGGGCAGGGGTCAGGCCTGGTGCCCACTCACCAAGCTGAGATGCCCCAGTGGGAGCCAGCTCGGTCACCAGCAGTTTGGAAGACCGAGAGGCCAATGAGGGAGATAGTAGGGGTGACCGTGAGAGGCCCAATGTAGCTGAGTAGGGCCCCAGGCAGTCCCAGCAGTCCGATCACCACCTCCACCAAGCTGGACACCATGATTGCTCCTTGGATCTAAAAGAGCAAAGATCAGAGCTGTTCATCACCTAGCAAAGGCCAGGAGCCGGCCAGCAGAGGATGGAGGCTTCCAGACAGCATTCTTGACTCCCCCAACTTCATAGTGGCCCTCACTCCTTTCTAGCCCCCTTCTGCAGGCCTGGCCTCTTCTGCCCAATGTACAAACTCACCTCTCGAATGCGTGGCTGCCAGATGTGAGAGGTGTTCAGTGGCAGACTCCAGTTCCCATAGATCTCCTCTGCGGGCAGAGACAGGGACCCTCACAACACACCCATAAAGAGAGATGCTGGTCACCAAGCATCCCAGGCCTGAGCTCAAGGCAGCTGACTCCCCACCCCACCATCACCACTAGAAGCCTCCCCCCTCCTCCAGCACAGACCTCAGCCGAGTGCCCACCTTCTGAGGGACATTTCCATTTGTCCAGGGATAGAATGGCTTGGGCTGGAACCAGAAACGCAAAGGCACTGGCTTGGAACAGCGGCAGCCTGCAAGTTGAGAGGAGGGTTGGAGAGAGGTGGGAGATAGCGGGAAGAACGGGGGTTGGGGTGGAGCAGAGGGAGGTCACGGAGGCCCAGGCAGGAGTGCCCCTTGTTCCACGCATGGGCCTGGGGCTGCTGTCCCTGAGGGAAACCCACAGCAGTCATTAGGACAGGAAGTGGGTGCGGGTGTTTAGAGCACCAGGGCAAAGTCCTTGAAACCCACAGACCGTTCATTCTGAGCAAGTGTCCAGGCAGACCACTGAATTGAGGGATCCAGGGCAGGACCCTGCTGGCCAGGGAGCCTCCCCCCGGGGAAGGAGCAGGGAGGAACAACACGGCTCTTCCATCCCGGAGGAGGGCCCAGTTGCCCCTGCAGCGACATAGCATACAGAGCATGCGCGTGTGTATTTGTGTGCATGGGGGCGGGCACTCACCGGATGCCCAGCGTGGTCTGCACAAGGGTGGTGATGCCCACACACACGAAGATGGTGCCGATGAGTTGACTGACCATGTGCTGGTCCTGACCCACGCACATTGCCTCGGCCAGGAGGAAGGGCACGGCGATGGTGCCACTGAAGCAGGTCAGATAGTGCTGGGCAGAGGCAGAGCGCGCAGGCCATGAGGCAGGTCCTGCCAACTCCGTGGAAACTGGGCTCCTCCGCCACGTGTTCACACAGGACTGAGGACTCCCGCGAGGCATTCCCCGTGAGGACACCATTCACCTCTCTCTCTGGGGCCACTAGTCTCCCTCCCTTCCCCCTGTAGCAGCTCTGGCTTCCAGGGGCGGGTTCACCTGCCTGGCAATAGTCCCATGCTCTCAGGCCCTATGCAACCTTTCCCACCACTGCTCAGGGACAGTCACTTCGTTGACCTCAGGTTAGGGACTTACACTTCCTGTTGGCCAAGATAACCTTGTGGACCAGAATCAGGCTGGGCCAGGCTGGGGTGGGGGCGGTGGGGGGTGGGGGGAATGTGTGTGTGGGCCCAATAGGATGGGGAAATACACAGCAGTGGGAGGCAGGCCCACCTGGAAGCCCAGAAGAATGCACAGGTACCAAGGCGGCGTGTCTTCAATCTTGTACAACATGTCAAACTTGGGCTGTGTGGGCAGAGCCATGGGGGGCTCCCTGGGTTGAGCCTCTGCGGAGCCCAGGGTTGCATGCTGGGGACAGCAGACGCAAGTAGATGAAGGTGGAGGGATAGGGCTAGGCAAAGCCCGTTCTGCCCGCATTTGGGGAAAGGGTTGTGCTCAAGGGCCCGGTCCGCAGCTCAGCCTGAGGTTCCTCCTCTCTCTGCCCTGTTTCCCTGCCTCTCTCCTCCAGCCTGTCCCAGTGTTCATGGACTCCTCTGTTGTCAGGCAGCCTGGGTTTTCCTGGCTCCCGGTCTCACACAGTCTCCTGCAGGAATGTGTCCACTTTGTTAGCTCCCCTTAGGGCTAGGCCTTTCTAGCCAAGGTACAGGACCTGTAAATTAGACCTGGATCTGGGGGAACCAGGAGAGGGGGCTCAGGGGGCTCAAGACTGAAAAGAAGTTCACCCTGGTCCCACTTCTGCCCCTTGGGGGTCCTTGGGGTGTCCCCGGGGAGCTTGGGGGCCATACTGCCCCCACCAGCTGGAATAAGCCAATCCAGAAGGTGGGGCTCCTTCACCCCTACCCCGCTTCACACACAAGTTTCCCACCCCTCCCCGCCCCGCAGCAACTCCCAGTGACCACACTCAGCTCCAGATGGTCACTCTCTATCAAGTTCATCAGCCTTTTGTCTGCCCTCCCAGGGAGGCCTGACCTGCCCTCCAGCCCCCTCCACTCCCCGCCCCCTTTCCCAGCACCTGTGGCTGTGGCTGACCCTCGGAGTCCTGCTGGGCCCTCATGTCCGGAGCGCTGGTCTGAGCAGCTCCTGGGAGGGAGGATGACTTTACCGAGGCTGAGGAGGACTTTACTCCACACATCAGACATTGTTCAAAGTAAATCTGTAACCAGGTCCCCAGCTCTGGATTGCGAAAGGGGGACCCGGGCAAAGTGAGGTATTAACTGTGGCTGTGGAAGCCTCAGCCACGTGTGTCTTCAGAGCCCTTCCTTCCTGGCCCCAACCTGGGCACGAGACCTGCTCTTGTTTTCCATGATAGGGCCAGAGTCGAAGGGGTGAGGAGGGAACAGTCTTGTCTGCTTGCCAAGCCCTGGGTGAGGTGACAGCAGCCAGGGGAGTGGCAGGAGGTGCTGATTTTGTCACACCCTGCCTGGGGCCCTTTTCAGTTATGAAGAAGAGGCTAATCACTATTTTCATCATCATAACCATTCTGATTGAGGGGTGGGCATCCTGCCCGGGAACACATCGGTATTGTCCTAAGGAGCCGGGAAACTGATATCAGAAACTTGGCCCTACCGAGGCCACCTACACAGCCAGGTTCAGCCAGGTTCAAAAAACACAGGGTCCTCCAATGTGCTGTCCTCTTGAGTCCGGCAGCAGAGAGGCCTCAGTAGGTGGAGCTGTCTAGCCGGTGGCCTATGTCAGCTCACGGATGCCCCTCGGATTCCCCTTCCCTCCCAGCTGGGACTGCAGTTACTGGGACCCAGTGTCAAATAACATAGAGGCCTGTGTCACAGCTCCCTGGAAGCCAGGCCAGCGCCCAGCCTGGGTTTTGCTCCACAGGCCAAGCCCCAGTCCGAGGGCCAACCAGGAAAGGGGCACATAGACAGGGGTGGAGGAATGGAAGCACCTTAGCTGCTGCAAGCTGCACCTCAGGTTGCAGATCAGCCTTCTTCTGGGCTCTTGCACCCCCCGCCCCTCCAGCCAGCTTCAGGCCCACCTACTTCTGGGTCGCTGTGCCCATGGCCAGGTCGTGCCCCGAGGCCCCACGGGCAGCACCGCTCTCCAGCTGGGCAGCAGCTTCATGCCACAGCTCTGAGTCCTTCCTCTCCCTCTTGGCTCCGGCTTCTCAGTGCTCCCAAAGCCGTCTGACTAGTTCTAGGCCTCTGCAACTCCTCAATACTTCCCTCCCCTTCCTTGGCACCCAGCGCTCCCCAGGGGGCTGGGGACACCCAGCCACACCCCTTGTTCCCTAGTCACTCACACCCTGAGCACACACACAGGATCAAGGCCTGGAGATGCTTGCGTCCCATAAAAGAATCCATCAGGGCCGACTGAAGCAGCGTGTCAGTCACACTGCACCCACACAGGGGTGCCCAGGCCCATGTCACGTGGTGCATCTAGCCCTGTTCCTGATACTGCCCGGAGCTTGGCTGCTTCTCCAGGACTTGACTCTACTCCTTGTGGTATCTATGGCTTCTCTCCTGGGGCACCGACCAGGGGAGGAGGGCCCTCAGGCAAGTCCTGGAACTGCTGATGCCCCGTCAGGGGCTGGGGCATCCAGGGAAACTGGCCCTTTGAGGGTCTGTCTGGGGGCTCTGACCTAGTTGGGGTCATTAGTCCCCACCCACCTAAGTCTGATCCCCAGCCTGGGCTGCTACTGGTCCACCTGTCTGGCCTTGGTCACCTTTGCAATCTTAAGTCTGTTTCTGCCTTCTTCAAGTTGCAATTAGGGTGTGGTTCTGTACACACACACACACACACACACACACACACACACACACGGCTTCAGTGGATCAGAGCTATAAAGAAAACTGCAAGTTGTAGCATCCCTTACCCCAGGTCCAGCCCCAAGTAGGAACCAGAAAGGGTCTCCAAGGGGCCAGAAGCGTTTGCTGAAGAGAGGACAGCCCTGAGTCAGAATGTTGAATACATCTGGTTCTACCCTGCCCCGCCATTCCCTATTCCAGGCAGACACCCAGGATCCAACCATCCAGGCTGGGATCAGAGGCAGAGGGCAGAGGGCACGTGGCAGTGACTGAGATGAGTGTCTGGGAGCGGCACAGATAGCACGGAGCGATGGTGTAGGCGTGACCGCAGGCAACCTGCCTGCAGATGCCCTTGTGTTCTTTCTGCTCGTGGTGGCTCTGTCGTCTGGACTGTCCTGTGGTGATCCCATGCTTCCCTGGGCCTCTTTCAGCTCATTTGCAAACCCCCTGCCCCATCCCCGGCACACCAGCACTAGTTTTCCTCTAGGTTCTTCTGTTTAGAAGGGCCACCAGCAGGAACACCCACATCTGTCCTTCCCTAGCACACTGCCCCAAGCATTTTTTTTACAGAAAGGAGTTAAGGTCACTGGGTTTTATTTGAGTCCAGAGGGGAAGGCCTTGTTCCTTGTCCAGGCTTCAGTGCCATGGAGAAGAGGCGAGAGGGAGGGAGAGGCAGCACAGGGCAAGGTCTCTCTAACTCCAAATTGCCTGGCCTGTAGGAAGGAATGTGGAAGGCCAGCTGCTGTTTCAGGCAAAGGAGAGGGGAACTAGAGCTCTCCCCTTCGGACAGGTGCTTCCTCCAAGCAGGCTCCACGGGGACCCCCACACAGCAGCTCCTCCAGAGCCCCTTGACCTTGGAGGTAGGCTTCATAGATGCTTTCTTCTCCAAACTCCCCGAGGTAGTGTAGACAGGTGGTAGAGAGCCTGGGGGAGCCCAGAGAAGTCTCACACACTGCCCAGGCCCCTGGAGGAACAGCCCCAAGGGGGCAGTCTCAAGTTCCAAGGGCTCCTCCTCTCCCCTCTCCCCCCAGTCATGTCATCATTGTCACCTGGTGGGCCAGGGGCCCCCTCTGATCATCACTTGGATGTGTAAGTTTGGCCCCTCGCTAAGCCCCGGGCCAGTGAGACGCTTCACGTGGTTCACTTCCTGGACCCCGTAGCTGGTGGCAGAGGGGGAAAAAGGGAGCAGAGCACTGGTGAGGGCACAGTGAGGAAAGGCCTTATCTCTACAACAAGCTAGGGATACTGGGCATTTGCCATTTGGGAGACAGAAAACCCCTGAACCAAGGTCACACGATGACTTTGCAGGATATCTGCTCTGCCACTTGTCCACAGTGCCAGGGCCCAGGCTGCAGCCAGCCTCTTCCCTCAGGGCAGAGCCCGGGGGTAGGGTGGGGAGAGCAGGGGTAGGGGGAAGGAGGACTCCCAACCCCCTTTCCTGCCCCCAGAGAAGGGAGGCAGGGCCCAAACCAGGACTCACTCCTGCCAGTCCTGGGAGCAGCTCCGGTCCAGGACATCCGTGTACTCTGACTCACTCAGCTCCTGCTGCCCCAGGGAATCTCGGGGTTGAAGTTTGGCCTCTGCTTTTGCCAGATGCTCCCGCATCTAGAACAAGGAGGGGCTGGGAGCAAGGGCTCAGGACTTCTGCTCAGTTAGGGAGGAAGTAGAGAGGGGAGGACAGGAGAATGAAGTGGCAAGGGAGCTTCTGGCAGAAAGTGTCTGGGTGACAGGCTGTGGGCCCCTCCCCTGGGTCCCCAAAGCTATCACTGGGCCAGGAGAGAGAGTGAAAAGGAAGTGCTGAAGTGGAGCTTGGTACCGGCAAGCACACCAGCCCAGTGGCAGGTGCTGCTGAAAGAGAACCCAGGCACAGAGGCATGCTCACCCAGGACGGGTGTGGGCTCTGACACAGGCAAGTCAGCACGTGTGCACCCCAGTCAGACCTGGGGCCAGTCTAGACAGGGAGAAATCTTGAAGAGCAAGCAAGTTTCAGGATGGTGTCCCAGTCCACCCACTCTGTTGGGCAGGCAGATGGGTAAACTGAGGCATGGAGGTTTTAGTGAGGTAGAGATACAGTATCCTAGAAGGCTGGGGCTGGAGGCCTGATGATGGTGAAGCTGGGGTTCATGGGGCAGAAGTGGCATGAAGGATGGAAGGAGGGGTATGGGCAGGTGCAGAGTCTGCCTGGGGTTGGGGAGGACTCACCTGGTAGGCCACGGCCCTGCAGGCGTCACAGCGCAGGTGGGTGGGCATGTGAGCTGAATACTTCTCCTCATCATCCAGCTGTGGGGCAGAGGCACTGAGAGAGATCCTGTCCCCAGTGGCCCCTGGGGTAGCCCAGGCTCCCAGCAGCAGCAGCAGTGGCAGCAATCGCCTCATGGCCTCTGGAGCCAGACTAGCAGGCGGCGAGGGCTGCGGGCAGGCTGCAGGTGTGCAGGCACATGAGTGCAGTGGGGATTGCCGCTGACCCAACCAATGGGGAACCGACACCTCACCCCTGTCGTCCCCTCCCTTCCTCCTAGGCCCTGGAGAGGCCACGTATACACTTCCCCTAGTGAGACCCTGGCTCCATTTCGCAGGGAATGGGAAGGCCAGCAGTGGACCCATGGGAGTGACCACCCGGTGGTCTGGCTGGCAGCAGGTGCTGTGTAGGGCACCCTGTGGGAGGAGATGGTTGGCTAGGTTATCTTTATTCTGCTCTTGAGGATACAGGGACTCAAAGAGAAGTGGCACATTCATGCTCACATGGAGAAGCCCTGCTGAGATCAGAGCTCAAATGTGATGGGACCACTCAAGCCTAGGGAAGGAACAAAGGCACGGATGAGCTTTGGCAGCCGCTGACTTCCTCTCTGGGAGAGATTCAGTGACGCAGAGGACTCCAATGTGGAAGCATACATGGTCTCCATCCCTGGCGCTGGCATGGGAGAGCATCATGGAGTATGTAAGAGCCTTTATGATATCCATTCTGTCCTGAGCAAAGTGCTGGACATTGTTGCCCAGGGTAAATGAGTTCCCTTCTTTCTTCTCTTTACTCTTGACTCCCTCCCTGACATGATGCATACGACACCACATTCACCGTTTCCTTGGGTCTTTCCTCCCTTGGACCACCCTCCTGTCACTATGGCAGGAGCATTCTTTTCACTCCTTCTTAAATAAATTTTGCCTTGCATGAAAATGTTTCTCTTGTGCGAGATAAGAAACTAGGTTTCTGTCGTTTGTGCGTTGAATTCCCTGCAACAGTATAGTAGGATAAACTTCTGTCTCCAGCACTGGCATCCCATATTGGCACCAATTGAAGTCCTGGCTGCAGCATTTCGGTCCAGGTCCCTGCTGATGGCCAGAGAAAGTAGAGAATGGCCCAAGTGCTTGGGCCCCTGCATCTGCGTGGGAGACCCGGAAGAAGCTCCTGGCTCCCAGTTTAGGATTGACTCAGCTCTAGCCATTGCAGCCATTTGGGGAGTGAATCAGCGATAAAGATCTTTCCCTCTCTGTGTTTCCTCTTTCTGTTGTAACTCTACCTTTCAAATAAAAATAAATAGATCTTTCAAAAAAGGGGAGGATTGGCAGGAAATCAGGCACCGTACACCACTCATTTCAGCCATTGTGGCTCCATGGGTCAGCAATTTATTGCACAACAGGATGTTGTGGGAGGTGTCCAGAACTGCCCCAGGTGGCCTCAGGGCAGACACTCTGTGCCATCAGGATCAGAGCCCCAGGAAAAGTGCTTGGGATTGCCAGCTTTCCTGGCTGGCCTCCAGGCTGGGACTTAGAGGGACCTGGCCCCCACCCTGACACTGCCACCAGGGAAACACCCTTCGCCACACTCGTCACACACACGTGGTCCAGCAGGGCTGGGAACACACGCACACATATACACACACACCACCTCCAACCTCCTTCATGCACATCCTCTTGGGCTTGCTCAGCCCTCACAGGCTCCTAAACTCTCAGGGCACTCGCAGCTTAGCCTAGGGTCCTGTCTCTGCCCTCGGTGTGATCAACTTGCTGGGTCACCTGGGAGGAGGGAACAGAGACCTGCTTCAGCTGACCACCTGGCAGTCAGGAGGCTCCCCTGGAACAGCAGTGCCACCTTCCTTCCTCCTAAGAGGAGAGGCTGGGGTACAGGCTTCCAGCCTCGGGCCTACCTCACCCCTAGGCCTTCCACCCCAAACCCCAGCTCCACAGACTCTCCCGTATTACTTCCTCTCTCCATCTCCACCTGCTGTCTACACAACTCTCTGCTCAGGCCCGGCTTGCCTGGGGGCACCCCACCCCCAAACCCTGCCAGGTCTAAGTTCAGCTCCTTTGGCAAAGAAGAGATACAACGGCCAGAGACCTCCTCCTCATCTTGGCAGTGTCCACCAGCCTGTTCCACCTCTGCTGGGCCCACCCGACCTGGAGCCCTCAGCTTTCAGGAATCTGCTCGCTTGCACACACACACACCACCACCACCACCACCACCACCGCCGCCGCGCCCTGACAATGCCCGGGAAAAGGCCTATGCAATTTGGCAGGGAAAGGGAGAGAAGCAGGCAGCCATTTCCTGGCTCCATCGGCCCAGGGGTCTCCGAGGCCTCCTCTACAGGCCGCTTCTGGCTGGAGGCCTGGCTGGGCCGGAGAGGAAGGCCAGGCATTGCACGTCAGGGCCTGATCGGCCGTCTGCGGACGATAGCCTCCTCGTGGGCTTCATAAGGGGAACACGGAGCCCTTGCCCGGCTGGGCGGGCCCCGAGCTGGGGGGCGGAGCGCAGAGGAGCAGCGGCGGCGCGGCGGGGCTGGAGGGCCCGCTCACCGCCAGGTGGTACAGCCCGTCCAGGGAACCGAGCTCTGAGGCCCAGGGCAGCTGGGGGCTGCCGAGGGCCGGGGGGCCCGGGGACGGCGGCAGCGAGAGGCCGGGGACAGGTGCGTAGGCGGGCGGATAGAGGCCGGCTCCCAGGCCCAGCGGTGCGTAGACTTGGCGCGGCGGCCCGGCGGGCGAGGGCGGCAGGAGCACCTCCACGTACTGCCCGCTCTCAGGATCGAACAGCAAACGCAGCCTCGGCTGCCGAGGCGCCTCCACAAAATAGTAGCGACCGCTCTCGGGGTCCACTAGGACCTTTCCCGGCTGTGCCATGCCGGGCGGTCTGCGCAGCCCCTGAGTCGGGCACTGCGGAGAGCGGTCCGTGGGCGGCGCGGAGGAGGCGCGGGGCTGGCGCGGGGCCGCAGCTCGGGGCTCGGACGCGAGAGGCGCCGGCACAGCAGCCGCGGGCTCGGGGGCCGCCCGCGCTGTTTCCAGTTGGGGTGCGACCCCAAGACTTGAGTTAGGGTGCTCCTGTGGGGAGCCGGGGCGCGGCGGTCCGGGCCTCACGGGGGACCGCTGGGGTGAGGCGCGAGCGCCCCCTGGAGGGCTGGTCCGGCCCCCACCGTCGGGCACGAGGCGCTGGGCCTCGACACCCCGGCTCTGTCCGCAGGGACCGGGAGCTCGGACAGCCGGGGCGCCCTCCGGCCGACGGCCCAAGGCCAGGGCGCCAGGCAGACGGATCTCGGTGCGCGCGAAGGGTTTCGCCGTGCTGTTCTCCGCCCTCCGCCGCGGGATCCCGTTGGGCTGCGGAGCGTCGCAGGAGACTGCGTCGAGGGGCAGCTCTGGGGACTCGTAGGGATGCGGCACGACTGGAAGAAAGTCCTTGAGAAAAATGGAAGTGTAGTGAGCCGGGGCGGAAGGCTCAGGGTCCGGAGCCTGAAGGAGCTCTTGCGTCTGGGTCGGCTCGCCCTCCTCCGCGCAGGGCTCGGCCGGAGGAGCGGGAGCTAGAGCCAGCGGCGCTGGGGTCGAGCTCGCCGCGGGGAAGCTGGGCGCGTACGTGGTCTTAACGATCTTGCGCACGTCCCGTGGCCGTGGAATGGCCACTCGTGGGCGTCCAGAGGCTGCGTCTCCAGCGCTGGCAGCTTCGGGGCGTGCCTCGGCGTCTGGAGGGCCTGCCAGGTGACCGTGGGGCAGTTGGGATGCAGCCACTCCAGGCGACAGCTGACAGCCTCGGAAGGCCAGGTCCGGGATCTCCCGCGTGGACCGAGGCTGCACGTCCAGTGGTTCTGGAGTGCCAGGCGCGGACGGCGTGCGCGGCGCCGCCTCCTCCATAGCCTTTCCATTCAGAGCGTCCCAGGTCTCCTGAGGCGGTGGGCTCCCGGTCCTAGTAGGACGATTCGGAGCTTCCCAAGGAAACTCGGTCGGCGGGGATGGGGCCCTACCACGCCGTCCCAGGGCATCCCTGCCTGCCGCATACGGAGCCTCCCACGGGCAAAGCGCTTCAGGGGATGGACTTCTCGCTCTGGTCACCCGCTGACTCCATTGGGAAATGACCCAAGGACTGGGAGGGTTCCTCCTACTGACTGCTTCCTCGACGGCGGGATCCTGGTTTCCCCCCACAGAAGTGGGTTCAGAGAACGAAGGGCAACTCACCCTGCGGACGACCTGATCCCCCGGGGACAGACGCTCGGGCGATGGGCAGCGAGGACCCCGCCCTGCCCCATTTGAAGCCTGCCACGGAGGGGACGGGCTCCTCGGCCTCACCGCCTTGCCCGGAACCTCCCAGGAGTCCCTGAACTCGAAAGATGGACTCCGTGCCCTCGGGATGGTCCGACCTGGAGGCCCCCTCTGGGTGAGCCTAGTCTTGGGGCCTTGGTTGCGAACCTCTTGTATCTTCTCCTCTGATTGCAGAAAGATGCTCGAACTGACGGGGCCCAGCGGCTCAGTTCCAGGCGCAGGCTTGTCGCGCCGAATCGCACGCTCGCGGAGGCTTGGCCAGGGCCGTGGGACTCGGGGGGCCACCGGGCTGTTGTGTGCGCGGGGTGGTCGAGACCGGGCCTCCTCTGGGCTCACTCGGCTGCTGCGAGCTGCCCGATCCGCTGGTTCTGGGTGCACTGTGGGCCCAAAGGTGGCGCTACTCTGAGCCAATTTTCTGGCCAGCGCCGTCTGCACGAGGCTCGCGGCTGCCTGCAGGCGGCCCAGAGACTCATCCAGGGATCCGGTGCGCAGCAGCAGTCGTGGGCGCGCGTCGCTGGCCACCTGTGGGGGGCTCCGGGGTCGCGCGCGCAGCTCGATCTGGCGCTTGGGCACCGTCCGATTCCTGACGGGCGCTGTGCGCTCTTCCAGCGCCACCTCCACACACTCGAACTGTGCCGAGGGGGCTGGGCTGGGCCCGCGGGGCTGCAATTCCAGGTAAGTGGCCCAGTGGGAGCTACCGTCGGGGGCTTGCGGCTGCGGAGAGGCGAGGATGGGAGACCCTGGACACGGAGGCGAAGGCGAAGGGCTATTGCAGGCGGGTACCTCGTGGTCCTCCACGGCCGAGCGGCCAAACAGGGGCCCGGTGCTGAAGATGACTTCCATCTCCCCCGACGGCAGCACGCGCAGCTGGGGCTGGGGTGGCCGCGGGCCGGAGCCCGGACCTCGCGGGAAACCCGAGCCGGACCAGGGATCCTGGCGGCTATTCTGGGCGCTGACGGACAGGCGAGGCTGCGCGCCCGCCCCCTGCCCAGGGGCCACCCAGGGCCAGATGGTCAGGCGTTCCGCGTCCGGCCCAGATTCCGGGGGCTCTGGAGAACCGGGGGCCGTGTGGTAGGAGCTTGACGAACCCGAGGAGTCTTGGCGCTGCGCGGGAGCGGGCAGCCGCTGCGAGACCCCGGGCAGGGATAGCGGTGCGAGGGCGGTCAGCATGGTGGGGCCGGACTCCGCGCACTGCCTCCCTGGCGCGGCCTCGGCGGCGGCGCCGACACTGTCCCCGCCCCACTCGCCAGCTCGCCCGAGGATGCCTGGGGTCACCGCGCCTTAAAGCGGCCGCGTCTGCTCCGGAGCCGGCGACCTCGGTAGCTGGAGGGGACCCGAGCCCTGGGCCCAGGCCCTTCCAGCCCCTCCGTCCAATGCACCGCTGCGGCACCAGATGGGACGCGGGTTTCAGCTGTCAGGAAGCCCCGGGCCTTGGAAGCCTTGGTACCTAAGAGGTAGGCCCAACTGCACCCATCACAGGTGAGTGGACTGAGGTCCACTGCTGCGGAATGCAGTTCAGGGCTGCAAGCCAGGGCACCAGGCCTTCCAGCCAGGAAACTCCAGCCCTGGGCCAGCAGGGCTCGCTTCAGCCAGAGCTCCCAAGGGCCCACTGCTTCCCCGCTTCTTGACCCGTTGACAGGCGTGTGGCTGGAAGAGTCTCAAGCGCTGTCTTTGGCTAGATCCTTCTTTGGAGGAACCTCTGGAAGCAGCGGGAGTGGAAAGCAACAGCTTTTTTCTTTTTCTTCCCCCAAGATTTATTTTTATTAGGAAGGCAGTTACAGAGAGGAGAGAAAAATCTTCCATCCTCTGGTTCACTCCCCAAGTGGCTGCAATGTGTGGAGCTAAGCTAATCCGAAGCTAGGAGCCAGGAGCTTCTTTTGGAATTCCCATTCAGGTGCAGGATCCCAAGGCTTTGGGCTGTCCTTGACTGTTTTTCCAGGTCACAGGTAGGGAACTGAATGGGAAGAGCAGCATCCAGGACATGAACCAGTGTTCATATGGGATCCCAATGCGCGCAAGGCAAGAACTATAACCACCAGGCTACCGTACTGGGCCCAAAAGTGGCTATTTTTATGAGCCCCAAGGGCTGAGGGGACTCTCTCTGGAACCCCACAGGCTTCTCCCAGACCCTTACAGCCTTGGGAGAAGCAGCCACACCCACCTTTGCCCTTGAACTTCTGGTCTCAAGATCTTGCTATGACACAAGTCCCAGTTGGCTGAGGTCAAGAGCCCTAGCCTGTCATACTCAGCCTGCATGCACTGGGCAAATCCCACTCCCAGCAGGGAGATGTGGCATCTAGGTGTGTCCCTGGGGACTCCAAGACACACAGGGGCGGGGGCGGCTCTGAAGACCTGTCTGGCACACCTCCAGCCCTGCCCCTGAGACTTGAGCAAGTCCTGGCCTCCCCCCATACTCTTCCCCCACCTTAACAATAGACCCAGCATTGTCTTTCCACACCTGTGCCTTGGTCCTGAGCCCTGCTAAGCTCCTCTGGGGAGGTGTTCAAGGTGCAAATGTGATTCTGAGGTGTAACAACCCTGCCAGTATGGGCAACTGCCCAAACTCATTGTGTCTGCCCCAGAGCAGGCTGGTGGATTTCAGGTTACAAGGGAGGGCACTGCGGAGGGGGGGATTCTTGGTGTTATCAGGCTGTTTGCATCAGAGGGTGATTAAATACCAAGAGTAAGGGACCTGGCCTGCTAGAACCAGGCCCATCTGTCCCCATAGGCTGACACACTTCCAGGACTGCAGTAGCTGCTGGAGAGTTAGACAGCATCTCCTTAGGAGCCCAGGAGTGCCTGGCAGGTGGTGGCCTGAGACCTGTCCCCAACACAGTCCCTGGTGAATTGACACTCAGGTCACCAAAGACTAGCAGGCAGAAACTCCTGCTGCCTCTTCCCTTGTCCCTTCCCTGAAGGTCAGGCCAGGAATGAGGGGACCCACAGGGATGAGAGGGGCAGGGCAAGGGACTCTCACAGCAAAGAAGGCTGAGACTGGGCAATACTGCCAGAGAATAAGGCTACTGACATTTATTTTTCCCTGAGACGCTGGTGGCTCCGGGCCTGCCGCACCCCCGCTGCTCTCTTATGCTTCTGGTCCAGCACCTGGGCCATGTAGTTCTCCTGCTGCTTCTGGATCCGGAAGTCAGATATATGATTCCTGCAATGGGGCCAGCAGCAGCCCAGGGGAGGGACCAGAGGTCAGGCTCCCCACTTCCAGGAACAACCCCCAGTCTGGCCCAGGCCCCTCACCTGAAAATCTGTTTCTGCTGGCTGATAACTTGCTGTAACTCCTTAATCTCATTCTCCTTGCCATTAAGTATATCTTCTTGCTTTATAATGTGAGACTCAATTTCTGTGGGGGAAGAGAGGCAGGGAGGACGTGGTTCCATCCCACAGGCTCCTTCCCGAATTAAGGCAATCCCTCCAAGAATCTTCCACAACTTGGCATTATTCCCCGCTCCGCCCCCCCCAAAAGGCCTGCATGAATAAAGGGGGTACTTCAAAACACTTGTGGGGAAAAAATGGAATTAAAAGGCAAGTTTCTTTTTTTTTTTTATTTTATTTGAAAGGCAGAGAAACAGATCTTCCGTCCACTGGTTCACTCCCCAATGCCCACCGCAGCCAAGGTCGGGCCACCAGGTTAAAGCCAGAAGCTTGGAATTGAATCTAGGTCTTCCACTAGAGAGGCAGGGACTCCACTGTTGGAGCCTTCCCCTGCCGCCTCCCAGGGTGCACACTAGCAGGAAGCTGAAATAGTAAGTGGAGCCAAGACCTCAACCCAGGTACTCCAGGCAAAGGCAAGTTTATTTGGACATTTTTAAAATTTGTGCAGTTCTGCCTAACAGTGCACTTTTATAAGCATTTGGAGAGTGTACATATGGATTTCAAACTTTTCTCACCATGATCAACATTTTTTCATTACACTTTCCATGAATTTTTCAGTTACCTTGTAATCGTTAACAGTATGAATGAGGTGTTTACTTACTTATTGTAATAATGAAGATTTGAAAGGCAAGGTTAGAGGTGGAGGGAGGGAGACCTTCCATCCGCTGCTTTACTCCCTGTGGCTGCTATGGCCTTGGGCTGGCCAGGTCAGAAACAGGAGGTTCCTCTGAATCTCCCACGTGGTGGCAGGACCCAAGGACTTGGTCCATCTTCTGCTACCTTCCCAGGCACATTAGCAGGGAAGTGGAGCAGCTAGGTCTTAAACTGGTATCCATATGGGATGCCAGTACTGCAGGTGGTAGCTTAACTGAAGGTGGTAGTTATGCCACAATGCCTAAATGAGTTCATTATGGAGTCTGGGGAGTGGGCAGTGTCTCATGGCATTAGTGACTACACAGTTCTATTTTGGACCAGGGGACCCATGGAAGGGCAGCCAAAGGTCCCTGGCTCTGAACATGTCATCTCCTTTCAAGACCCTCCTTAGTCTAACAGATAGCCCTTCCTGTTACTTACTCCACATTTTCTACCTTTTCTCCTTTTTCTTCCTAACAGTGTTCCTTACTATGATGTGAAGCTCCCCAGGACAGGGATTTTTTTTATTCATTGCTTTACCCTAAGCCTAAAGCAGTACCTGATACACAGTAGGTGCACAATAATCCTATTTATGATGTTAATGCACAGGTTGTCCCAGGGAGCCTGGAATCTAGTTCAGCCACTCCAGTAGGTCCCAGCCGACCTACTGTGGGCTGATCAGCTGACCTGCCCTGTGCTGGGGCTTCAGGAGCGTTGGGAGAAGACAGGATCCCTACTGCAGGATGCTGTGTTGCAAGTCTCCGATACAGGAACTGACCAGAGAGCAAATCAGGCTGCAACCAAATACAGTTCAAGTACTGAAGCAGTACTGCATCCTAGGCAAGACGGCTCTCTGTGCAGATAGGCACAGACACAGGGACAGGTGCACAGCCTCTAGTCCTGGAGGTGTGGGAAGTACCAGTGAGAGTGATGGCTTCCACCCCCGCCAGGAGAAGTCCACATGAAGTATGAGGATGTCTTGTGTCTTGGGTCAAAACCCAAGCAAGCTGCAAGGATGTGTAGACAAACGTCCTCTACAAAGCCCTAGGAGATTCTGACTCACACAAGCAAAGTTTCTCAATGTCTTTAAGAGTTGGACAAGGATGAATGACCTAGGTGCTGGTGCTGCAGTACAACTGGTAAAGCCACCACCTGAAACATTAGCACTGCATACGGGCACCGGTTTGTGTCCCAGTTGTTTCATTTCAACCCTGCTAATGTACCTGGCAAAGTAGTGGAGGATGGCCCAAGTCCATAGGCCCCTGCCACCCACATGGGCAACCCAGAAGAAGCTTTATCTCTTAGGTTTTGGCTGTGCCACTTCTAACTCCCTGCTAAGGTATCTGGGAATGTAGAGGAGGATGGCCCAGGTGCTTGGTTCCCTATACCCATATGTGAGACCTGGAAGAAGCTCCTCTCTCCTGGCTCCAGCCTGGCCCAGCCCCAGTTGGTGTGGCCACTGGGGAAAGAATCAGCAGATGGAAGATCTTTCTTTCCCTCTGTAACTCTGCCTTTCAAATAAATCAATCTTTGGGAATGCAGCAGCATGGAAAAGAGGGAAAAAGACAGAGGAGGAGAGAAAGAAAACATGGGCTGTATGGGCCAAGGGCCAGGCCTGCTGGGCTTCCCTCCGCCCCCCTCTCCCCCCCAGAACTACTTGTGAGGAGCTTTTGGACAAAGAACTGGAGATGTGTGTGACACTGTTCAAATCAAAGCTGCACCCAACGAGAGAATGTTTAGAAAATCCCCTTGAGAAAGACAAAGAACTCTGCAGTTATAAAAAGCAGTGTGAGGCTGGCAGTGGAGGGGGTGGCTCAGAACATTCCAGGGGGGCCAGGCAGGCCCTCCTCCAAGGACACACACATTCGCCCCACAAGCAGTTACAGAGCCCAGCAGCCCTGGCTGATTCACATGAGAAGAAAATGATCTGCCAGAAGGATATCACTGGTTCCACCCACAAAGCAAGCCCTGGGTTCTTCCTGGGGAAGAGGGGGATGTCGGGAGGGAGCAGGTAAGGGCACCTGCAGCCTTGGCTGTGGAGGCAGTGACTCGTGGGCCCCAGGAGGCTCCTGGAGAAGCCACACACCTGTGAGGCCCATCATTCTGCCTGACTAGATCAAGATGACAGCCTGGGGGTGGGTGGGTAGTTG